CGCGCAATGTTGGTCATGGTTCTGAAGAAGATAGGTGAAAAACAAAAAACGAAAACACAGGAGGTTGGTGGAAAAAGGGAACAGCTGACGCTGCTGACAGGTTTTGTTTAAATTTGCCTTGAAAAACTTATCGATTTTTCTCATAATGGCTTAGTTTTTCGAATGTTCCTTCATTTTAAAGAAGTATAAAATGGAAATAGTGGTTTGCAAGTGAAGTTGCTTTTGTTCTAATTACCATTGACATCTGACGTTTTCATCTGTAAATAAACAAACTAGCCATATTTTATGGCTTCTGCTGAAAGAAAGTACTTTGATGTGAGAATCTGTGAATTGCTGAACAACTTGGCACCATTATAGTAATCAGGTATGTCCCGATTTTTAGCACTGCCCTAAAAGCGATCAGATGTTATAGGTTGGCTTCAGATGTAGACCTGTCACGATTGAAAGTCTCAAAAATAACTTCTTGTTTCATATTTACTCATTGGTTGTCTGCTAGCATTGATTCATACGAATTGATTGTCATTTTTTTCATGTAATCAACATAATTTGCTTGTTCCTGTTGTACGTGACCCCCATTTTACCTAACCTAGTTGGGTCTTGCTTCTTGAATGTGTATTCAGGTAGTAACTGAAAGGCAATGAGGAAAGCACCAAGAGCAACGTGCGCAATGCCTGTGCAGCAGATTAGTGTCAATCCTATGGAATGGAGTAAAGACGTACAGCATGGTATTGACGAAGCACCAGAATGGAGGGTAAGATATTACTTCCAGAAATTTGCAGTGATGAATTTAGTACTCCATTATTGTTTATTACAAATCATTAATTTAAAACCTGATGGTTTATTTGCCGGCTCACACACATATTATAATTTCAGGAGGCAATACTTGCCTTGTCTGGAGGTAACCCTGTGCCTCCTGAACGATGTATGTCCCAGGCCTCAACACTCTCCAACAGTTATGATATCTGCAGGACAAAAATATAAAAAATTAATTGGGACTACTTTTCTACTTCCATGTCTTCAGACAGAGGCTCTCCAAAAGTCATAGTATGACAATCTAAGTTTCTCAAATTTAATACAACACATGTTTTAGTTTGATAAAATTTTGGAATACAAATCAAGCGAACTTCTTTCCCATTATCACCTGAGAATATTTTACTTTGATAGCTAGGCTGATTGCCGACAAAGTAAACATCTGGCAGTTCTTTGATAATAAATGGATCTTTACCTGCAAATGGGTAGCAACCTACAATATAAAAATAAAGTAAATTTTCTTACAAAACCTAAAACTTTAAACTCAAATCTTTGGCTAGTAGAATTTAACTTACGCAATGTGTCAGGGGCAGAAGGTGCAATATGGCCCCATTCTAATGTATGTTGAAGTATGGCAAGGCGGTCTGTAATCCTGGTAAAACTAGCAATATCATCAATTGGCTGGCCTGCAGTGCCAATAATGCGGCGACCATCAACTTCAAAGTCATAGGGATTTGGAGAGCTGTGCAAGGTTTTGTAAGCAGCGGCCTGAGAAAAACAGATTACAATCAATTAAAGTGCAAAAATAAACAAATAAAAAACATGGTTCTAGTATAAAGTATCCTACAAACCTTGGGGAACATACAACAATGTAAAGGTTGCTGAGGTAAGGTGCAATTTGAAGGATCAAATTCCCCTGGCATTAAGTCAACAGGAATGTTACTCTGCAAAAATATCAGACAGTTATGTTAGTAGCTCCAGTAAAACACCTTATAAATCAACATCAATTTCACTTACAGCAAGTTGTTGGAGAAATTCATCAAAAGTTTTAACAGCATCAAGGGTGCTTGATTGATCCAGGCCTTCACTCACATGTTGAAGTGCTGCTCCTCTATTCGCAGACTTACATCTGATACTGTTACCTTAATTAAAAATTGGCCATGAAGTTTTGAAACTAACTTGTAATAAGAAGAATCATTATGAAAGGATACGTACCAGCAAACAGAATACGGCTGACAAGAGCCTGGTTTTTTTGTTCTCCAATATCTCCAAGCCATCCACTTACCCAATCCACTAGTAATTCAAATGGAAATAAGACATCTGCACTCCCTGCTAGATCAAGCCCACTAACAAGCACAATGTACCTAGAAATGGTGGCAAGTTACAATAAGAATGGTTCAGGAAGGAAAATGTTTAACCGAATCAATTAGCCACTTAAAATCTATACCACACCTGTCTTCCGATGGAGGAATAAGTGGTTGAGATGGTCCAGAGGGAGTTGGGAAGCAGTACTCCTCAACCTTAAATTTGCCTCCTTCATGCTCAGCACCAAGCACAGCACAGACCACACCTGTGATGACATCATGTGGATTTATCTCCCCAATTAATTTGATACGTTGAAGCTCATCCTCAAGAATCAGCTGATCTTCGTCACCAGTGTATTCAGAACGAGGAGGCTGAGGGACAAGCTGGTTCTCTTCACTTATTTCTTTTAAAATGCTGGGCTTTAACTCCTGATGTTTGTATAATGTACCAACGATAATACATCTATCAGTACTATCTTCTTTTAAATCGGCAAGGGTCTTCACAGGAATGTTAGTACCTGATAAATGAAATCCAGCGTTATTAACAATCTAACGCCCAATAAATGTCATGATATTGTTATTAATATACTATTTGCGACCATGAACCTAACCTCAACAGAAAAATAACATAATACTGACCCCACTTTTGGTTTATTCTTGGCAGTAACAGTTCTTTCATAGAACTGAGCCTCTCCGCATAGAAATGGAAATACTGACGAGAGAAGTCCTTGTTTACGAGTCGAAATCTATTCGAATGATCTTGAAATTGGCTGTCGACTCGGTCTACTACAACATCCGCTGATTGCTCCGAAGGCTTTGACAGCAAGCGACCCGCACATTCCGTAACGTTTAGTTTCATTTTGAAGTGCGAAGTAAAACTCGTCAGAATATTTCAGTGCTATTTTCCAACTTCAGTCAGGAGTACGATATAACAATAACAACAAACACTTTTTCGCTTCAACACACCGGTTGTCGTCTTTGGCGCTCAAAACAACAAATCTTTGGTTGCACAGTGTTTCCAACCGTCAGTTGTTAAATTTGTCAAGGAATTCCCCCTAATTAATCCCCACATTTAAAAATACTTAGCTCAATTCAACAAATTTTATTATTATTATTTTTTAAAGTTTAATTCTTTTCTCCTAGACCAAAAAAAGTTCTTGATCAATACACCGCGCAATGTTGGTCATGGTTCTGAAGAAGATAGGTGAAAAACAAAAAACGAAAACACAGGAGGTTGGTGGAAAAAGGGAACAGCTGACGCTGCAGACAGGTTTTGTTTAAATTTGCCTTGAAAAACTTATCGATTTTTCTCATAATGGCTTAGTTTTTCGAATGTTCCTTCATTTTAAAGAAGTATAAAATGGAAATAGTGGTTTGCAAGTGAAGTTGCTTTTGTTCTAATTACCATTGACATCTGACGTTTTCATCTGTAAATAAACAAACTAGCCATATTTTATGGCTTCTGCTGAAAGAAAGTACTTTGATGTGAGAATCTGTGAATTGCTGAACAACTTGGCACCATTATAGTAATCAGGTATGTCCCGATTTTTAGCACTGCCCGAAAAGCGATCAGATGTTATAGGTTGGCTTCAGATGTAGACCTGTCACGATTGAAAGTCTCAAAAACAACTTCATGTTTCATATTTACTCATTGGTTGTCTGCTAGCATTGATTCATACGAATTGATTGTCATTTTTTTCATGTAATCAACATAATTTGCTTGTTCCTGTTGTACGTGACCCCCATTTTACCTAACCTAGTTGGGTCTTGCTTCTTGAATGTGTATTCAGGTAGTAACTGAAAGGCAATGAGGAAAGCACCAAGAGCAACGTGCGCAATGCCTGTGCAGCAGATTAGTGTCAATCCTATGGAATGGAGTAAAGACGTACAGCATGGTATTGACGAAGCACCAGAATGGAGGGTAAGATATTACTTCCAGAAATTTGCAGTGATGAATTTAGTACTCCATTATTGTTTATTACAAATCATTAATTTAAAACCTGATGGTTTATTTGCCGGCTCACACACATATTATAATTTCAGGAGGCAATACTTGCCTTGTCTGGAGGTAACCCTGTGCCTCCTGAACGATGTATGTCCCAGGCCTCAACACTCTCCAACAGTTATGATATCTGCAGGTGAGGCATCTAAATTTATTAATACCAACTACATTTTGAAGTTTTTGAGTAACTAAAATTAGTTTCCTTTCATTTATTGATAAAAATACTTTAATTTATACAGAATATGCCACTGTGAGGGTGAAAGAGACGCACCATTGATAGCCCCATGCTATTGCTCGGGGTCACTACGCTACGTTCATCAAGCATGCTTACAGCAGTGGATCAAATCATCAGATATTCGAGCTTGTGAACTTTGCAAATTTCAGTTTGTAATGTACAGTAAAATCAAGCCTATCATGCAGGTCTGTATGTTTTAATTTATTAAAGATAGTATCTATGGTGTCTCCTTACACTGAGTAAACTGAATATTTTATTGCAACAAAACTTTCAGTTTAAATCCTTCTAAAAGTTTTTGTGGTCTTTGTCTCTTTTGCAGTGGGAACAGCTGGAGCTATCAGCATTAGAAAGGCGCAAGCTGCTTTGTATGGTTTTATTCCACACTGCTGCATTATCATGTGTACTCTGGTCTCTTCATGTACTAATAGATGGAACCTTGGAAGAAATCAACAAAGGTTTGCTGGAGTGGTCTTTATGGACTAAGTTGATTGGAGTTACTGCTGTGTTCAGTGGTGGTGTTGCATACATCTTCCATCAAGGGAAAGCATACTGTGCTCTTTGTCGTCGTTGGCGGGCTTTTAACAGGTATATTTTATGCAAATTTTAGGTTTTTGTAAGGTGAGGGTCAGGACTAGAACACTGATTTTACTTCTGATTTCAGGGTTATCTATGTGCAAAATGCTCCAGAGAAGGTTGCATTAGGCTCTCTTCAAAATGTTTCTTTACACCAAACTCAGTGTTCTGAAGCAGCAAACGCCCTCCTAACATCTGGTGGTTGTTGTGGAGTTGAAACAGAATCTGCTGTTGCTGATATGCGTGATAATATTCACGAGCGGAATACAAGCATTGATCTACACCAAGATCCTGCTACATCAACAAGCCACTCCAATAAGTCTGACAGCTCAATGTGTAAACAAGATAGTATTCAGGAGAAGAGGATGTGGTTTCGCAGCTCTTCTGTTTACAATTCAAAGGATAACCTTGGAGCTTGTTCAAAGTCTGGTTCTCTAAATAATGATGATATCTCTATTTCATCCTTTGATGAACTTACCAGTAGTTGTCTAAGGTCAAGTAGAAATAGTATAAATGAAGACATGGAGCCATTGCCACCACCAGCAGCATTTGTTGATTCTGCCACCAATACTGAGCTTGTATATGAAAATGAGAAATTGGATGGTAAAAGTTTAAGCAAGCAGTGTTCTAGTTCAAGTGGCAGTCCAGTTCTTCCCCAAGAATCTTTGCCTCGATCAGGAAGTTCCTCTGTAGTATCTCTGAACAAATCTCTTGATCAGGATGTTGTTCCAGGTCAGTCCTTTACTCATCAGTCCTCATCAGATCCCAACCAAGAAAAATCCTCTGATAGCAAAGTCAGCAGTGCCTTCATGTTGGGTAGTGGTCTGACTTACAGCCGTCCAACCAGGGTCGGATATCCCTATTTACTGTCTACATTTCATCCAATGATTCCCCCAAATCTGAATGTTCAGAATGTTGGTCGCTCAGGTTCCAGCTCCAGCAGTAGCAGTGAAGAGTGTGTTGCATCTTTAATGCGACAAACACAATCAAATCTTTCAAAGCCCCAGCAGACTCGCCCCTGGACAGTTGGCGGTCCAGACTTCTTACAATCAACTAATTATGACACTTCAGATGAAGGTTGGAACCGTGTTGCGGATGACATTCGATCTGACAGGTCAGGCATTCGATCTGCTACCGTCAGATCAGAAACTGCAGCTAGATTCCAATGTCCCTCAGGATCACAGTCACCTCTTCTTTCTGCCGCACAGTCCCATTCAAAGACAAAATAAGATTTCTAATTTAAGGATTTGGGGCCAAATGTGCAATCCTAACTATTGTTAAGGCTGTGAGTGAGAGTGCTTCATTTATATACTGTATGTGAAAATTTAGTAATAATGAACTAGTGTATTGTAGCATGTTCTTAATGGATAAGTTATGGAACAAAGATAATTCCTTTCAGTCTTCCGACGATGACATAAATTCCAAACCAGCTGCCAAACCAACTGTGTTGCCGCCCAAGTCTTTTTGTTTTCTTTTTCAAAAAACATTTGTAACTGCTCAATCAAAACAGTTTAATAAATTTGGTAGCCTGTATGGGTTTTAGATGTGTTTAGAAAGCCATGCAATGAACTTAACTCTCCAATTGACAGGGGTGGTTTTGCCTGAATCATACTTCAAAAGAAAACCATGAACTGTGTATTTCTTTGACTGACAACATTTGCTACCTTCTAAAAAATGTGTTATGATGTCCCAATGTTTTCAACATTTTACAATTGACATGGAATTATTACAAAGGCGATAAAATGTTTTTCACTGCCACTTGGATAGGCTCTGCTGGGTGTGACTTCTATAAAATACTTCATCAGATGTTTTGTGTATTTGCTTGTGAAACGCTTTACGCGTTTCCATTATTGTTTAAGCCCCATATTTGGTGCAAAAATTTAGTGGTATCTGTTGTTTAATATGTATCTTATCTTCTCTTGTTATTATGTTTTCTCTCTCTCTCCCTCTTTCTTATTACTTTTTGTTTGTTTGTTTTTGTTACTTTTTCCTTCCTCTTAGTATTTTGGAAAATAAGTTTGTTTGAAAAAAAGTTTTTTATTTGCATGCAGGATGATATGTAAACTATTCTGTCACTTAAAATTCTGTGCCATTGATTTTTATTGGACAGTTAAAAAAACTGTTTTATAGATGCTTAAAATGTTTCATTAATTTTATTTTCAAGTCTGTGCAATGAAGTAACATCTCTTTGTTCTATTTTAAGTAAAGTTTTAAATATGATACTTTGATGTACCAAATGACATTTGTTTTGTTTTGCTTATTTTTTTTTGGCTTGTCTTGCTTCATAATTTCCTCTGAGTGAGTTATCTAACACTTATTTGTTCTCCAATTTTATTTTGTGATACTGTATTTAGTCATCAAGTATGTTAAATCCAGTGTAAAGTCCTAAAACGTGCTTAAATTTTTGTTGTTTTATTATATTACGTATAATATCCATCTATGGATATATTTATGACTTACTACAGTAAGTTTTTATTAGACTGATCATTGATAGTATAAACAGGTGAGACATACTAGTATATCATAGACATTTCTGCTATATCTGCATTATGTTTTTAAACTGTTTGGTTGAATGTAATTGGTAGCTTATAAACCTGGTAATCTGTAGCTGTAAGACAAAGGTTAAGAAGCAATTCTACTTAAAAATTCAGACCCTGCTGTTGCTCAATACCTGGTTTTAGGGTACAATGCACATACCTGCATCAAAGCTCAAATTAACTACCAATTTGTGATCTTGGAAAGCTACAAATTAGAACCATGAGGCACATTTCAAAGAGAGTTTAGAAAGTATGTTCTTGGATTTTATCAGGTAAAGGCGTTACTTACAACCCCACCACCTACCACAGCATGAAACAAAAGACAATAAGGTTGTCCCATTCCCCTCTTTTATTAATGGTAAGAGCACCCAAGGGATAGGAGCATGACATTAACGAAGTGTGGAGTGATTGCCTGTAATAAGCCAGTGTTTTTCTTGTCTTTTCTTTGAATTATGCTGCTAGCCTAGCATATTTATTTAATTGCCAATTCTTGCTTAAAACAACTTCTTTCAGGCATGTTTTTGACAAAACTACATATTATCTTTGTTTATTTCTAGATGTAGGTGTATTGTTCATGTGAAGCAATACTAAGCAGACAACTCTGTGTGGATTGTTAAATATCAAAGCTATTTTGAACAACGCTGTCTTATTCAATTTTGATCTTCTATTCTCTTATTATTTAGACGAGCAACATAGTCATTACTGTAGATGTTTTTCTTTCCTTTTTGTTTGTAGGTAAAAATTGTTTGTTTCTTTCTTATCGAAACTTCATTTATATTGTTTTCTCTGTGTGTAGAAGAACCTGTTTTCCATATGTGTTGTCTATGAACTTGAGGTTCAGTTCTGATGTAGTATTATGTACTTAATGCTGAGCATAAATGCCCTTTTTCTCAACATTTCTGAAAAGAGACTCTTGCAAACCTATGCTATGAAATCTTCAGTGTGCATGCGCATATGAATGTGTATGTATGTATGTATGTGTGTGTGTAAAGGTTTATTTAGGTGAGCCAGGAGTGACATATATATAGAAATGTGAACAAATGCAAATTGAATTTTCTGTGTGAGTTTAAAAGTTTATATTTATGGTTGAAGTGTGTTTGTTTGTCTAGTATTGTGGCCATGAAGCATTGTCAAATAATGTTTTTGTGGTCTGTCTTTGTAAACTACTTGTCTATAGCAAACTCTGAGTAATGTGTCTGCTATAATTTATTTGTTTTTCTCTTCAGTTTTGCTTCTATTTCCAGTATTATCATAGTTTAGCTTTGCATTTTATTACTGTCGTACTTTTTTTTCCTGATTCATTTAAAACAATTTTGTTTTGATCTGAGCCCTGTACTTAATTTTACATTTACAACCTATATTACTCAGTTTTGTGTCTTCATCCATTTTACCTTTAAAACTATTTTTCCTTTTATCACCAAAGCTTGATTGTTGTGCTGGAGCAATAACTAAGCTCATGCCCAGCAATGTGATGTGATATATATATGTGATTGAAAGAAGTTTTGCTTTATTAATTTTAATGAAGACAGTGCATGTCAATGTGTGATCAAATGACGGTCAAAAAAAAGTTTTTTAGTGGGTTTTTTGTTTTGTTTTTGTGACTTCTAGTTTTAAGGTTTAATCCTTGTGACTTATATACATTTGATTAGCCTAAATCTTAAGCATTTTACCAAACCTTAGATATATATCCATGTATGCATACATGTTTCATATTGGTAACAATATTACTTATGTACTTCATTGCTGGACTTTTTAATTATATGATTAATTATGTCCAGTTCTGCGTCTTCATTTCCGATCCCTCTGACCTTCACGTCGAGGCCGGTGGCCGGCCCGGTCCGACAGGGGCCTCCACGACGGCCACCTCTGTGTTGCTCTGGGCGTCCTCCTGCCGTCGCGGTCGCGAGACTGTCCTGCTCCGACTCCGTCTGCTTTGAGGCGCCGGCGGTGCTTTGGTCCTGGAGGCGGGGCGCGCGCCGCGCCGCCCGGCGCACGAGGTAAGGGAGGCACAGGAGCGGGTGCGGGCGCCGCCCGGGCCCCGGGGCCCCGTTGGCTGGGTGACGACGACGCCCTCTACTGACGGGAGGGCCTTCTCCTTCTGGTCGCGGTAGTCCGCGTCCGCGCCGCACAGGCCGTCAGCCCGCGCTCCCTGGCCCCGCGGACCGTCACTGGGGGGACTCCATCTGCTGACGTGTTCCTGGTCTAGGTCCAGGGGCTGCACGTCGACGGTCTCCTCCATCAGATCGAGGAGAGAGTCGGGGAAGCCAGGGCTGTAGTACCTGTAGGGCAGCAGCAAAGACAGACGGCATTGTGGGTCGGCGTTTCTCTGTTCTTTTTTCTTTCTTTCCAATAACTGAGAGGTGCGTTTGAATCAGCAATCGGATAGAAGGGCCGGAGTGTGATAGTCGTGTAGGACAGGACACGACGGATACGACGAACCTGACGATCTCCTCAGGGAAGCAGCAGTTGATGACGGCCACGCTCTCGGCGATGGCCGAGCCCGGCTCCGCGGGGATCTCCTGGAGACGGCGCAGCCCGCCCGTGCACACGAGCAGTCGGCGCCCGCGGGGGTCCTGCGGCAGAATCTGAGCACCAGGTTGTCAGAGTCTGGACCTGAGGTCTGATCGGTGCATCGCAGCATACGGCTTTGCGCTGGCTCAGACCGACATTCGCGTCGCTTCTCGTTTTTCCTACTCGCGCGTCTGGGCGAGACGCGTCAGAAGCCGCGCGGCTGTCGTCACGGGCGTGGGCCCAAGAAGTGCCTCATCCTGGTCGGGCCTCGGTCTGGCATGGGGGGCCCAGGGAATGGCAGTCGATGAGTGAGTTTTCGTCTTCGCCATATCAATGAAAGCGGATCTTCCTTTGGAAAGCGCCCAAGCCGACCGCATGACGTCACGCGGGCGGACCTGCAGCGCCAAAGGCGCTTTCAGGTGACGAACGAAGAAGATGTGTAGCAGGGTAGAACTTAAAGGGCCTTTACCCCGTGTACCAGCGTGACCTAGCGGCGAGAAGATTTCGAGCCAACAAAGGCCGTTTAGGTTCCATCCGCTAGTCTTATTCAATAGTACACTATTGGCCACACCCTCCACCCTCGCGGAGATGGCGCCCAGGGCTCGGGTGCACCACTTCAAAACCCGGGCATTTTTGTTTCCTCCCCCTCCCCCAATCCCCCC